CACCCTGTATACATATAAAAGAAAACTAAAGTACAAGGGGTGCGTTCCGAACAGTTCCGAATTAGCTATATTTCTAGTTACAAAGTTGGTACCACTGTAACTAACTTGCGTAGGTTCCGTAATGTATCAGCTGAGTTCGTTTCTTGTGTTTAATGTAAGAAAATAAATTTAATTAATAATATGTCTAATATAATTAATCCCAAATATAAATTGGACATATATTGTGAAACCGAAAAGAAAATGTTTACTTTCATAGTTTCGAAAGAAACTTATTTGCAAGCTAAAAGCAGTAAGTAAACTAAAAATAGTTTCCATTATTTTCAATACTTGTTTATTAGTTAGTCTAATTTTAGTTAGTCTAATATTAGTTAGTCTAATTTTAGTTAGTCTAATATTAGTTAGTCTAAATATTAGTCTAATAAACAAGTATTGAAAATAATTAAAACTATTTTTAGTTACTGCTTTTAGCTTACAAATAAGTTTCTTTCGAAACTACGAAAGTAAACTTTTTCTTTTCGGTTTCACAATATATGTCCAATTTATATTTGGGATTAATTGTATTAGACATATTATTAATTAAATTTATTCTCTTACATTAAATACAAGAAACGAAATCAGCTGATACATTACGGAACCTACGCAAGTTAATTACAATGGTACCAACTTTGTAACCAGAAATATAGCTAATTCGGAACGCACCCAAGATCGGTCTTAGATCAAGTAGATGTCCGTTTTTACAATCGACAGGCAAAATTGTATGCGAAACAGCATGAGATATCACGATAGAAATCATACATCACCTGTAATTATCAAACTTGCGAAAATGTTTGACTTTTCTAATTGTGCACGCGGAATGGGAATTAATGTTCTTTTCCGTCCCGAGGACACTTCTTTACGCGTGCATAAATATGAGGAAACGTTGCGTCAGTTACTCTCATACAGCAACCGTGACATACGCCCGCATAAGTGAGAATCCGTGCGTCGCGCGCAGACGGACGGTCACCACGCGACAGGTCTCCGCCCTGCGAGCCCTTGCTCGACGTATCTCAATGATTGTGTGACATTTGGATATTTTAGATTCGAAATCCCACGGCGGCGCGACCTGTAGCGCGACGAGCAGCAGCACGAGTAGTCAAGTCCTGGGTGTCAAGTCCAGCATCAGAGTGGGTAACGCAGCAAGTAACTCTGTGGAGAGTGGTGGGGGGGCGTTGGCACATGACGGGGCAGGCACGAGTGGCATCGCGTCGACGGCCACTGCCAATCCACCTGTGTCTGCCGCCGTTTCTGCCAACCCTACACACCCTCATTCTACACACAAGCACCTGCTACGCTCTCGCGCGAAAGCCTCCGGCGAACAGCCCAAGGAACTGCCATCCAGCACCAAGACTTCGGGGAAACATCACAAGAAAGACACTACAACGGGTTCCTGCTCGAGTTCCAGGTAGCCAGTCGAAGATGCGCTCTCTCTCTTTCGAGACCGTAAGGTCTTATGTAACCCGGTTCAAAAAACAATTACAATGTCTGGCATCGTTGCAGACATCGCTCCTCATCGCGCGTGAGGAAGCCGGTGGTGGAGAGCGGCTCCGGTGGATTGGGTAGTGTGATGTCAGGCAATGACTCCATCAGCGCTACCTCGGTGTCATCCTCCATCCCGAGCAGTCAGTTAGTCTCGACTACAGGTGAGGAGGAGTCGGCATCAACTGCGACATCCGCCACAGGTTATAAATGCCATTGATGTCTAAGCTGAATAAATAATGAATTGGCTTGATCAATTTTGTCGCGCGATGCCAGGCCGCGTCGTTCAAACTGTTCGATTTTTCTGCTTGCACGCGCAGCCAGTGGAGGACCATCTGGAATGTCAGGCACGACCGGTGACAGCGAGAGCGACGATGGAGAAGTTGGACGGTTGCAAGCCCTGCTGGAAGCTAGAGGTTTACCGCCTCACGTGTTCGGCGCTCTAGGGCCGCGGATGCAGCACCTACTTAACAGAAGCATGGGTGCGAGCTCCGGTATGAAAATAATGATCCTTCTGTCGAAGGCAATTCGTAATTCGCATTGCTCGTTACAAACCTGAGAGTAATCTTTGCTAAGCACAGCTATCTGCACTTGTCGCGATACCGCTTGTGCAGCGTACTGATCTGTAAACTAATAATTTTGCAGCTGCGAAGGCGCAACAGCTATTAGCTGGTTTACAAGCGGTTGAAGACGAGGGAGAGCAATTACAGGCCGTTATGAACATGGGGGAGATTCTTGTAATGGGCAACGAAGACACTCTGACCGGCTTCCCCGTCAAACAAGTGGTCGCAGCTTTAATTAATTTATTGGGGATCGAGCATAACTTTGCGATAATGACCCACGCGTGTCGCGCCCTCACGTATATGATGGAGGCTCTGCCACGGTCGTCCACTGTTGTGGTGGACGCGGTGCCGGTGTTCCTCCAGAAGCTCGAGTCGATCGAGTGCATGGACGTAGCTGAACAATGTTTGACAGCATTAGCCATGCTGTCACGCAGGCACAGCAAAACAATTTTACATGCGGTACGTACATACATTTCGTCTAACTTGCGAACAAGTGCGCCTGCATTTTTTTCTGTTCTTTGTGTCCTTCTCACATTAATTTATCCAGTTTATAATTTTTGTACAATAAATAAGACATTAATTTTTTAATTTAACCCTTAAACTACACACTGTCTATTTGAGACATACGCTACACATGGGGTCAATTTGACCCCCGCTTGTTTAAACAATTGCTGCAATGATACTATTCATTTTTTTATGTAAAAAATTAGACATGTTACATTAACATGTAGGATAAACTTGGTCCGAGCCATAAATAATGATTGCAATAATTTAAAAAAATAAAAATGTAGAAAGAAGCTCAGAAAATGCCGTTTTTACTTAAGATTCAATAACTTTTTCATTTTTAATATTTTAACCTAAAAATTTAATTGGATACTTTTGAAACAATGTTCTTTAAGATAAAAATATTTGCAATAGTGCACATTCCAAAAAAGGTATTTACTTTGACAACCAAAGGTGTGATATTTCGGAAAAATTGAAGGCACATTTTTACTGGTCATTGTAATAAAAATTAATTATATTATTTGTCTTTTGCGTGTAAAATTTTTTTTTTACAAAATATATGATAAAGGTTGAATACATTATTTCAATACAGCATCTGGCGTATGCTCCGAGTTCTCAAATTAAACGCCATCTAAAAGTATTATAATTTATGTTACAGCTAATGAAAAAAAATCACACGGTATTTAAATTAATACTTACATTTTTCTAGTTTAAATGCAGTAAAATTGAACAAAAAAATTATGAAAAAAATTCCTCCCAATATTCGTACACTACATAGGGGGTTAGATTGACCCCAGCGTTTTGAAGCGTCTACTTTGAACGGCTGTCACTAGTCAACTAGCACCTTGGGACCCACAACTAATGTGTAGTCTTAAAAAGGAAGACTTCAACTAACAACAAATGGCGCCATAAGTCCCAACTTCACATTTTATTTAGGAGATATTCAAACGCAAACTTTTGTTGCGGTCTCCTGGACCCCGGGTGTAGTCTAAGGGTTAATTTTATTTTACTTTTGGTATCTTAATATTTTTTTAAATCACGGCTTAGAAAATAATCTTTACGCCTCGAGAGTGAAAAAATTGCTACGAGACTCATTTTGACTCATTCCGTTTCATACGATACCAATTTTAGAAGCACGATGACGCTTGTTGCTTTCAACTTCTTCATAAATTTTAATATTACATCGTTTTATTTTCAGGGTGGGGTATCAGCCTGTTTGAAATTCGTCGATTTCTTCAACATCACGGCGCAACGTGCGGCGTTAACGATTACCGCAAACTGCTGTCAGAATCTTCATCCTGATGATTTTCACTTGGTAGTGGATAGTCTATCGTTATTAACGAGCAGATTGACGAATCAAGACAAGAAGAGCGTCGAGTGTGTGTGTCAAGCATTCAGTCGATTAGTTGACAGTTTTCAGCATGATCCTGTGATGCTACATAAAATTATCAATGCCGAGCTCTTACAGAATCTGCAACAGCTGGTACGTGCGAGATGGATCGTATTCACTCGTCATTGAGATGATTTTGATTCTCGTGTCGTTTATATATATATACATTATTCTGCATCTTCATATTACAGCTTATGATTACGCCGCCAGTTAACAGCACCAACAATTTCATAACTGTATTACGAATGCTCTCTGTGATATCAAACCGCTGTCCCGACTTGGCGCAATTGTTGCTGCAACAAAATATAGCTTTCACGTTAAGTTATCTCTTAACCGGATCTCTGGAGGTGAAAACGGAAGATGTGGAGCTGGTGCCGCGTACACCGCAGGAGTGGTTCGAGATTACGTGTTTAATCGAGGAGCTCATGCCTCCGTTACCAACAGATGGGATATTCAGTGTAAATAGCTTACTCGAAAGGACCAGCAATCAGCAGGAGACTGTCCAGTGGGAATGGCGCGACGAAAGACAATGTTCCCATCCGTTCAGTACTATAGATTCTAGAATTATCGAGGTAATAATTCCCGTCGTGGACGCGCATCGACCAACGAACGATCCCAACAAGTCGAATCGCTAAACGCTCGTTTTTCAGATGGCGTTTCAAAATGGCGAAGATGAGATATGCCTTACCTCTTTAGGACGAACTTACACTATAGATCTGACTGTGATGAAACAAATTAACGAGGATATAGGAATGGCAAGAAGTATATTTCGGAGAGTGAACACCAATCCCACTGAGGGGAAGAGTCCAACTTGCTCATCTAGGTACAAATTGCATTTGCGCCCCCCCCCCCCCCCCCGAAGGGTTGCAAACGGTCTTGTCGCTAATGCAGTTTTTACGTTATTAATTGCAGTATGGATGTTGTGCCTCCGGTAATCGAAACAAACGAATGGCTAGTGTCTTTTATTCGAACTCTATTCTCTGTACTGTACGAAGTTTATAGTAGCTCGGCTGGACCCGCCGTCAAGTGCAAGTGTCTCCGAGCTCTTCTCCGTATGGTGTATTATGCTTCAACTGATTTACTTAAAGTGAGACGATATACATTAAACTCCGAGTATTGCTCGATAATTGTTCGTGGCGTACGTCATACATGAATTTTCCCCTTTTGAACGCAGGATGTTCTAAAGAATCAGGTGGTCTCGTCGCACATAGCCGGTATGTTAGCGTCGCAAGATTTACGTATAGTTATCGGGGCTCTTCAAATGGCGAGTATCTTGATGAAAAGATTGCCACAAGTGTTTGGGGTTCATTTTCATCGCGAGGGCGTACTGCATCAAGTTCGTCAATTAGCAGATCCCGAAGTACCTCTCGGTGTTTCACCACCCAAGTGCCCTTCTGGTAAGTCGCGTTAATTCTACTATTCTCATCTCCGTTGACTTTTGTTGTCGTTGAGTGCGTTTTACGTGATACTATTCGTTTCTGCACGCGTGATATATGATATGCTGTATTCTATGACATTTTACGTTGTATTTTAGGTACATCATTACCAAGCCCACAGCCAGGTCCGTCTAATACACCACTTTCTTCCACCACAATGTTGTCTTCTAGTAGTGCCACGTCTCCGGTTGTCTCTCCATCCTCGAACGGCAACATATTGTTCGGTACAATCGCGTGCCAGTATAAACCAAATATCAGTGCTTCGCTGGAACCACACAGAACGGAGTTAAACAACAGCATAGAAGAAACGAGCGCGTCGCAAAGTGCACACGTGTTAGTACATGTCCACCGATACAATTTTTTAATCACTTGCGGTGCGTACAACTCATAGGTCTCTCTATTTATTAGAAGAATCGGTGATGTGCTGAAGAAGAAGCGACAGAATAAGAAGGGTCGTTTCTCGAGATTGGGTGGTGCCACCACGCCGCAGCAGACGCAACAGCCGGAGTCCCTGTTCACCGGTTTTACCCCGAAGAACAATAGATTCTTGGGGAATCTCAACCCGGCGAAATGGGGCCGGAAATCGTCCTCGTCCAGTACCAGCAACGACAAGAGAGACTCGAGCTCGTCCACGAATCTGTCGAAACCACCGAGTAATCCGAGCTTGACCGGCGGGAATCGGGATAAGGCGAAGGTGTGGGTGCGCGAGCAAGCTGCCCAGTTCCTGGCGAGATATCAGGACGACGCACCCTGCTCGCATCCCGCCTTAACGGTTCTCGCTCGATTGACTGCTGCGATACAGCGATTGCAATCAAACGTAAGCACATTGCGTGAATATATGATATATATATATGTATATATACAGGGTGTACAAAAAGGTCGGAACCCTTGAATATTTCGGAAAATATAAAGTTTTTTCTAAAATGTGTCGAACATAAGTTTTATGGTTTCGAAAGGGCTATAAGGTGGTACCATTGGTTTGACCTTGCATAGTCGTTTTGAAGGTCACCATTAATTTCTTAAATTAGACACCCTATTTTTTATTACATATTCTTATAGCTTACCTCGAGAGCTTTCCTAAGCGTTATAATAAAGTATTTTTTTATTAAGAACTTTTTGAGTTATTAAGGTTTGAAAGTTCCAGTATTTTGACATAAATTACAAAATACCTTGTAAAATATTCATTTTTTTTATCATCTTACCTTAATACTTTTTTGAACAGAATAATGAGACAAATCAGCCGGTGTAAAGAAAACAATTGTTTTAAAAAAATATTTTTATTGTTACAAAATTTATATATTTACAAAATATTCATATGATGTTTTTATCATTAGCTTCATTATGCTTCATTATTTTATCGTTAGTTTCATGTATGCCTTGATGGAAATATTTTGCTAAAAATACTATGAAATTGAAAAATTATTGAATGTGAATGTCTCTCAAAATGAATCGTAATTTTTTGTTATAAAATTCAATTAAAAGACTGAAAGGTAAGGAAAGTTAAAAAATACTGTTGAAAAGTAATAACAAAATTATGAAATTTACTGAAATTAATTAAGAACTGTTACTTTTCAGTGAAAAATTGTTGAAATGAAACTGGATCAATTGAGGGATTTTCAAGTGCATTTTAGCAAAATTTAATTATATTTTCAGTAAAGTATTTCCATCAGGACATGTGTACATCAGCATGCATCACCATTCACGAACTATCAAAAGATATCACTAGGTTCCCAAAATTTCAATACTTTTAATTAATATAAAAATTATACGTTTTTACCTAACTTGGTTTTCTTTAGCAAGAAAGATTTCGAGCTTGGGCCTGGATAACTCAGCTGGAAGAGCATTCGCCCGGCCCGAGCGAAAGGTCCCAGGTTCGAATTCTGGTCTAGTACCAACCTGTTATTTTCCTCGTCGAAAAATTAACAAGTTGCGCGTCTTTGTGCCTACCTCCCCGAAGATACCCCCTTATTTATTACTGTGGACTACCTTCTTAGCTTACACGCAGTCAAAAGAAAAAAAGAAAAACTTTTTAACTAATTATCTTAAATTTACAATAGAAAATTTTTAACACCAACGACACTGGGTACTCACGGTATGTTAAGTACATTAAGAATTTTGCTGCTTGTAAATTTATGACTGGTTAAGAATTGCTTCTTCCATTTCTTTTACCTATATATTGTTAAAGAAGACCAAGTTAGGTGAAAACGTGCAAGTTTTGTATTGATTAATAAATAAACTTTTGGAAATATCTTTCGAGGTAGCTCGTGAATTGACCGTTTATTTGTTTGTGTAGCTTTTGCTCATAACGAGCGCTTTCTTGTAGTGCATGTACAATTACTTACAATTCACTCACGTCCGCAGGAACTGGACGAGATGTTGTCAGCACTCACAGAATTGCGGGATATAGTTCTCGAGAGCGATATATCGCCATTCGAAATGAATTACAGCGGTCTTATCAAGGCTCTGTTGAACTACCTCACTACCACGGATGCACCGGGCAATCGCTACGACCGTCTTCGTATGTTTTGGAAATTGTTTGCCGAGTCTACCGTAAGTAGAGTCGATCCCCCCCCCCCCTTTTTTTTACCTCGTCCATCTTGAACGTGTACGTGTAAACTCTGTTCTACTGTTTCATCCAGATGCAACAGAATAACGATATCATAGATCTTAATCCCGGAGCGTTTGGTGCTTTAGTAACGAAATTGAACAGCTGTGTCGCGCAGCTGGAACAATTCCCGGTGAAGGTTCACGATCTACCTGCGGGTTCTGGCGCCGGTCGCGGCGGCACCAGTGCTCTCAAGTTCTTCAACACGCATCAACTCAAGGTAATTGAGTGCGCGCTGTTTATCGTATCCCTCTTCTGCGTATGAATAAAATTTACTTGTCGCGAAAGAAGATGACTCGCTACAAACGCTGTGTATGTAAACGCAAGTATTTCGTTGAATTGTCCAGTGTAATCTTCAGCGGCATCCAGATTGTAATAATCTGAAACAATGGAAGGGCGGTACTGTAAAAATAGATCCGCTTGCGTTAGTACAGGCGATTGAACGTTATTTGATGGTACGTGGATACGGCAGAATACGGGACGCTGACTCGATGGTCAGCGATGACGACAATAGTGAGGATGACATCGATGACACTTTGGTACGTACACTTTCCTAACGAGGCGTCTATCTTTAGATCGGAGGGGAAAACCGATAAAACCGTGACTGTTCTTGCTTCACTCTTTCCTTTCCAGGCGGCAGTTGTGATAAGCCAAGGACCGCCGAAACATAAACTTCAGTTTCTAATCGGCGATGTGGTCTTACCTTTCAACATGACGGTTTATCAAGCCGTCAGGCAGTTCGGATGTTCCGGAGTGGATCATTCCGAGGCGGAGGCCGATAGTGAACCGCCGCTCGGACACGACGCGGTGTGGGTGCAAACCCACACGATATACTACCGGTATTTTCAAACGTTTTGAAACGCAAGCGCGATTCCTTTTCTTTCTTTTCTCCCTCAAGGTTGCACCGATGTCACTGTTCTCAGAGCAACAGATATCATTTTTCAGTCCAAGTTCATCAGCTGCTACAGTTTCTAATCTATTTGACTTTTTTTCTTTTATTTTAATTGTGTTGACACGGTTTTACAATATATTTGTGGATTTTTCTGACTTTATTACGGCTCTACATATTTTTCGTTTCTGAATCAGTTCATTATGATCGCTTGGTCAGAAGATTTAGTTTCTTTCCTGCTTTTTGAAGAATCTGAAAGTGCTCATCGTCTAGCCTGATTAGAAGCGTAAAAGTTTTTAATATTTGTACCGAAGATGATTCAAATTGGAGCCAAAACGCTCACCAATTGTTATCATTAATTTGTTTTCACGAATTGTAGTCGTAATTGACTCACGCAACAATAACCGCGTTATACTCTCATTGCCCGATTGTTTTTTTTATGTTTATCTATCAAGAGTTTATTTTATTAATTATAATTTTTCTGATTGTTGAACATTTATGAAGCTTGATCTGCAAAGTGCTTTTTGCGTCTAGAGGTATTCTATTTTGTAGCCAACAAAGCATAGAAAAATTGGTGCGAATTGATAAATTGTACAGTCGTAAGTTATCGACAAATTTTTCAATCGTTTTGATTTGCTTATATAAAAAAAGAATGTTAAGAGATCGACTTTTATCCACTCGTTGGCTGAGGAGACATTTCGTTTTTTTTCCTTTTTTGGATTCAATCTGAAAGTGCTCACCGTCTAGCCTGATTAGAAGCGTAAAAATTTTTAATATTTGTACCGAAGATGATTCAAATTGGAACCAAAACGTTCACCAATTGTTATCATTAATTTGTTTTCACGAATTCTAATCGTAATTGATTATAGTCGATTGACTCACGCAACAATAACCGCGTTACACTCTCATTGCCCAATTGGTTTTTTTTTATGTTTATACTATCAAGAGTTTATTTTATTGATTATAATTTTTCTGATTGTTGAACATTTATGAAGCTTGATCTGCAAAGTGCTTTTCGCGTCTAGAAATATTCTATTTTGTAGCCAACAAAGACAGAAAAATTTGTGCGAATTGATAAATTGTACAGTCGTAAGTTATCGACAAATTTTTCAATCGTTTTGATTTGCTTATATAAAAATAGAATGTTAAGAGATCGACTTTTATCCACTCGTTGGCTGAGGAGACGTTTCGTTTTTTTTTCTTTTTCGGATTCAGACCCGTACCAGAAGAGGACGCCGCAACCTCTCCGAAATCAGGATCGAGTTCACAGGGTAATAGTAGGAAGGGCAAGGGAAAAAGTACAAAGATTAGTTCGAAGAGGAAAGAAGATAGTCTCTGGCTGGAAGGCACGGTTCCGCTTCAACACTGTCCCCTCGCGCCATATCTGTCTCCCACGTTACCGCCCTCGGTGACCATCACGGACGCCTCCCTCGACGGGTTGTGTCTACTGCGTCTTTTACACGCTCTCAATCGCCACTGGGGCATACTGTTCCCTCATTTGAAAAGTATGAGCCTGTTGACGCCCCAGGACTTCATCAACAACAAGATCGCCGCGAAGGCCAGCAGGCAGCTGCAGGATCCGCTGGTGATCATGACTGGAAACTTACCATCCTGGTTACAACAGATAGCGTCTGTCTGGTTAGTGCAGGGCCGAATCGAGCGTTGGCTTATCTAATTTTTCATGTAATCCAAGGATTGATTTGCAACAATTGAATTCAATTTTCAGTCCTTTTCTCTTTCCGTTCGAGACGAGGCAGCTCTTGTTGTACGCGACGTCGTTTGATCGAGATAGAGCGCTGCAACGTCTCCTGGACTCCGCGCCGGAACTCTCTGGATCGGACAGCCAGGAACGCGTAACACCACGCTTAGAACGAAGGAAGAGAACCATCTCGAGGACGGACATTCTCAAGCAGGCGGAGCAAGTGATTCAGGACTTGGCCTCTAACAAGGCCTTACTCGAAGTGCAATACGTCAACGAGGTCAGTCGGTTGTTGTGTACACGTTGCCGTTCAGGCAGGCTTCTAATGTGGTGTTCTTGTTACAGGTTGGCACCGGGCTCGGTCCAACTTTGGAATTCTACGCTCTAGTCTCGAAGGAGCTGCAACGTGCAGATTTAGACTTGTGGCACGGCAGTTCGAATCCTACCGAAAACGGATATGTTAATTCCTCGCACGGGCTCTTTCCGACGCCAATCCCGTGGAACACTAAAGTGTCGCATCTAGCAAAATTGAAAACCAAGTTCAAGTTCCTCGGGAAATTTATGGCGAAGGCGATATACGACTCCAGAATGGTAAAAAATCGACTTCTCGTTCCCCCCGCGTTCTGCCCCCGGTCGTCCTTGACGCGTTAATTAAATCCTTTCATCTTTCAGTTGGACTTGCCGTTTAGTTTAACTTTTTACCGCTGGCTATTGGGGGAGGAGCACACTCTCACGTTAGCGGACTTGGCATACGTGTGTCCCGATGTGTATCGCACTCTCAGCAAGCTCCAGGAAGTTGTGAGGAAGAAGGAAGCCATGGAGAAAGATCAGACGCTACGGCCGCACGAGAAGGCGCAGTTGATAGAGGCTCTTGATTTAGACACATGCCCGATTTCAGAGCTGGGTCTTGTGTTCGAGTTGCCGGGCTACGAGAATATCGAGTTGAGGAAAGGCGGTAGCGAGATATCCGTTACCATTCACAATCTAGATCAATATATTAAGGTAAAGCGCGTCGCTCGAGGCTTTCCCTCGCCCGCGTCGTCGCGAGAGATTGCGGTGGTCTCATGCAGTGTACTCTGTAAAATTTCAGTTAGTGGTACACTGGTTCTTGTACGAGGGAGTGTTTAGGCAAATGGAGGCTTTCCGGGAGGGTTTCGAGTCGGTGTTCCCTCCGTCGCAGCTGAGACTATTCTTCCCGGAGGAGCTGGAAGCGGTGTTCTGCGGTCACGCGCAAACCGGCGGGCAGTGGGACGTGAAGACCCTCGCCGAGTGCTGTAGAACCGATCACGGTTACACGCCGGACTCGCGGGCCATTCGTTTTCTGTTCGAGGTCATGTCCAAGTACAACAGCGAGGAGCAGCGACAATTCATTCAGTTTGTCACCGGTTCGCCGCGTTTACCCGTTGGAGGTAAAACACTTGGCGCCCTTCATTCCGCGCTTGTATTGCGGACGAAAGAGATCCGACGTTAATACTCGGCGTATTTTTCAGGTTTCAAAAGCTTAACGCCCCCGTTAACAATAGTGCGCAAAACCTTCGATCCGTCTATGAAGACGGACGATTTTCTACCATCTGTAATGACTTGCGTCAACTACCTAAAACTGCCTGATTATACCACTCTGGAAATAATGTGGGAAAAGCTACGGATAGCCGCGCAAGAGGGTCAACACTCGTTCCATCTCTCCTAGAAACAGATGAAGGATCGACGCCTCGTTCTCTCCTTTACTCTTACATTATCCAGGCCGCGAATTATCCAAACTTATTTTAAGGTTCACGTGAAATTACGCAGCGAGTTTGCCAGCGAGAAAATCCAACGTGACGACGGACATTGCCCTTTACATGAATTCTTTCGGAGGATGCTCTTCGTTTCTTGAAAAAAAAAGAAAAAGGAAAAAATTTATCGGATCAACACTTCTTTCTTTCGGTGTTTATATCATTGCGATTTGGATTGTGATATACTTTGGGCAGTGAGATAACTGCAAAGCCGCATAATAGACCGAACCGCGCGAGAGCTCGCGCTCTCGTGAATGTTACAAACCGAGTGGCTTGCGAGCGACTACATTGTAGGGAAGAGAAACGTATCTTCAGTGTGTTACAATAAAAAAATGAAAAGAAAAGAAAAAGATTGTAAATATAGTTTAATATACGCAAGTCGATATAAATACTTTATATGATAGTAACGAGAAAAATGATATTGCTATGAAGAAAACACTATACTAATGGAATATAACATAACCCGAGAGCGAGCGAGAGAGAGAGAGAGAGGGAGAGAGAGAGAGAGAGATATAGAGAAGGACGTTTACTAGACATAAGTAAATTTTATATCAGTGGTGCGTTACAAAGCATCGCCATATGTCGCCAATCCCCCGCGTCCTGCGATCGCGGAAGAGATGAAAATTCACGAGCTAAAATCAGCAAGGAAATGCGCACGCCCGCGACCAAGGCGCGCGAACGTGCGTCCCGTCGGAAACGACGCTATTTCCGGATACACACACACACACACACACACACATATACATGCATACATACATACACACCCTCACACTCACAATATCGTGTCTCTCGCTGCTATTCTCTATTTTGTAATCGATCTCTTCGTGTTCACCGCTCTTGAGTTCCGACCGAGAACCGTGTTGCGCGAGTCACGTGACACGACGCTCTTACGTTTAAGTTCAGTGTGTAGCGTTTATCGATATCGTTTGATATTTTTCTTTTCTAAGTGAACCAGAGTCCCGAATTGTAAACTTTTATTTAGCTGCAAGAGTGCAAACCGGTATCGCCCAGGATCGCCGTGAATCGAAGAGAAATACCGATATCTGTTTACTCGCGAGCAAAGTCGTCGTATTTAGAGGGACAAAAAAGAAAAAAAAGAAATGTAAGAGAACTGTATCATACAAAATAGAATGGGTATAAAGTAAGTGAAGCTGGTTGTATCGCATGGATAATACAAGGTACATTGTGTTGCTTTCTCGCGTCATCGTGGTGAGAACCGCGGGTCCACGTGAGTTGTGCGAGAGAGAGAGAGAGAAAAAAAAGTGTGTGAGGCGAACTGGGGTCTGCATGTCAGAGCCTGTTCGATTCGTATTCTACGTTGTCGAATTTTATTGTGCATAATGTGTATCGTGTACACGAGAGCGGACATATTTTCTCGATTTTGTTGTATCCAGGACAATCCGGGATTTGAGAGTCGCATATCTTTCACTAGCTGAATGTAATTTACGTTGTCGTTATCGCCATAAAATATTTTCTTCTCTTTTCTTTCCCTTTTTTTGTAGGTATACACCCGACACACGTCTATGTACTTTAACTTTACCACGTTTTCCAGGCGTGCAAGATGATTATTTTTTATTCCGGTTTTTTTTTCACTGTGTGACGATTAATTACAAGTGATATAATGTGCAGGGGGAGGGGGAAATCGAGGAACATCGAGCGGACTTGGATGTGTGCGTCATCGTAAAATGTGTAACGGTTCAGCGTACGTGTCATAGAAATTTTTGGAATAGATTCTGATCGGAGACGTTCAATTCCTGGATCTCCATTGTGTTTTCTGGGGAAACTGAAATAATTCCGATCGGAATCTATTTCGAACATTTCCGTGACAAGTACCTAGGACACGCGATCCAAACCTATGTCATTAATATTATAAACAAAAGATATATTTATATCGATTCATTAGTATAAACGAATTTTATTTTATTCACAATGAAAGATCTGTTTTTTCTTGTTTTTTTTTCTCTTCTTCGGAAGCCTTCAATAAACATATAGGTATCATAAATCTGTTCACCAAAGCAATGTACCTCTCAAAAACGTAACCGACGAGACGCGAGTGTCACGAATTGCACAAGCGACACACTGTTATTTTTTTAAGGAGTATTCAAGGTCCATTCGAGAATAATCGTAAAATTATATTTTTTATTTACTTTTACCTCCGGTACCTTCTGAGAAATAAAATCGATTATAATTACCGAGTACATCCATTGATATTCACATTTGAAAATCTTATTTGCGTCTTTTAGACGTTTCTTTTTCCTTTTCTCTTGTAAAAATTTTTTAATCCACACTTCTCTTAACGCTATCATATATTGCCTCCTTTTTCTTGTGCCGTTGGACTTATCTCTTCTCATTTGTTTTCCAAGTACGAAAACTCTTATTTTTACAACGATATTTACAAGAACATGCTGCACCACGCTAATATAAAACAAAATCCTCCAATCGGCGTCGTTGCACTGAACTTTCTGTTATTGGTGAATGCAGTGTAGTAACAACTGCCGCAAAACAATATGATTCCAGACAATATGAATGTAGCGGCCTGCAACATAGATGCATGTAAAATTATCACGCGACCCCCATACATGACGCAGTTATTGACTGCGTTTACACGTCGCTATTAATCAGGTTTGATATCTGTTGATGTTGTAAAACTGGATTTAACTAGATATCTTACATCAATAATTACAAACTACTGACGTAAGGTGTTGTATAAATACCAGTCAAATTTGAGGTAAATCTATAGTATAACGTTCTTTCCACCGATTTTTGTAAATCAGAATTGGTGTGTTTTTATGCGTAAAATATATTAGGAGGATACAAATTGTCATGTATTGTTTGTTTAAATGTTTAAATCCAGTGAGCTCTTTAACATACTGCAGTGAGTGGTCCTATTCTCGATGTCGCTGAGTGAGAGAGAGAGGGGGGGGGGGGGTTGTTCGGTGAATCTCTCTTTCTCTATCTGATTGGTCAATGATTTTTTATTTCAATTTATATGAACGAGATAGAGATTGTGAGATAAAAACTCATCGACCAATCAGATAATAGGAAAAGAGATAATATAGATAATACAAAGATTCACCCAACAGCAGCTCTCTCTCTTTCTCAGCGATATTGAGGACAATAGAAAACAATAGGGACACTCACTCCAGTATGTTATCGAGCTCACTGTTTAAACTCAATTTCAAAGTTTTATGTTGGTAAATGTGAAATTGATAATTTCTGAAAACAATATCAATTGTGTACGCACGCAAAGATCTATTGCTTCTTACCTCAATTCGACTATTACGATATTACGGATTATTATTCATTTAACTGAATATCTTAGTTTTCATTTTGTTTATAAGATATTTAATTAATTTATTTGAAGTAACCGATACAATGAACTATTTGGAGCATGTGGACAATGGTAATCTGCGTTTATGCAAAAGTCTCTTGTGTCTAACATTAAATATTTTATTTAAAAAATATGATAATTGTCTACCAGCACCATAAAACTTTAAAATTGAATTTAAAAAAAAGGTACATAAACAATTTCCGTTGTTAGAATATATTCTACGCATAAAAATACGCAAATTCTGAAAAATTTAGTAAAATTGAATAAAAATCAGAGGGAAGAGCGTTGCACTGCAGATTTACCAATGTCGTATAAACGCTAGTTACACCTGGTTTTACACCATATGCGAATATCGCTAAACCCGATTAATGGTGACGTGTAAACGTTATCGTAAATTAACGGTGGCGGTTTCGACTTACCACGGTTGGGACTCTGCACATCGGTAATCCGAGCAGTGCCAAAGTATGTATAAAATGATATCGATTCGCCGTTTCGAAGATGCGGCGTTGCTCCTGCCCCACCTCGTCCTTGGGGTAATGCCCTGCGGAGTGGAAATATGAAAATTGGTCCGAATTCGGAGGTCGTGCAGAACTATGACGATTACATCGAGCGATTTGCTTACGGTGGGATCCGACGGCGCCGAGGATCACAGCCGCTGCGCCGCTGAGAGCCGCGAGTCTCACGTATGGACCGCTGGCGGCGGCCAATTTCCAAAGGGGTACCGGCGTGGCCATTTTCACCTCAACTTTCGGCTTCACTCCCAGATAGTTGGTTGCCTGGTAGTGACAATTGTCACATTATTAGTTTTCGTGAAAAAGTGGAAATCGTGCTTTTGTTACGGCGCTATATTCTCTCGCAATCCGGCCTACTGTTAGTTTAGTAAGTTAAGGATGTATCGGACCTATCTTCAAAATAGTACAAAGTCGCTAAAAATTTGTGAAATGGTTCTTTCAGTCTTCCTAATTTATTGCAGAAAAGTAAAAATGCATCCACTAAACGGTTGCTGAGATATAACTATTTTAATTTACACTGATTTTACACGTACTCTTATGGGAAAAGCAGATCTTCACGGATAAAACAGCTAAAAAAATGTAGAAGAAATAGTACCAGTGTTTTAAATTTTTTTATACATCTAGTATACGAATAGATGAAAATATCTACCAAGTTTCAATAGTCTTTACTGCACCGTTTTAAAGAAATAAAATATAATAAAATATAACTTGAGATATTCGTACTGTCGGCACGAATTTTTTAGTTTTGAAAATATTTGACGTTATTAAGAATTGAAATCAGAGTATTTTCACTATCAAAAGTTTAGGCTCATAAGTGAAAAAAATCGCAAATAATTCAGGAAAAAGCATTTGTAAAGTGAAAAATACCTTTGTAGGAGTACAAATAAGACTCCAACTATCGCTCAAGTTTCTTACATCTAGATTTACTATTATATATTATGCGTTAAGAGTAGATATTTAAGTATTTCCAATTTCATGCACTTTTGTCTAAGATTGTACGTCCAATACACCCTTAAGGGGTCTTCCTAGTGTGACGGCTTGAAAAATCATCAAATTTTTTGCACAATCTTCAAGTTTAACTCTTCAAGAACATTATTCCAAAGCGATTTGTCCCAATTCGAAATACTAAGGAAGTTGTCACCTTAAACGTGAGCGGCGCGCAGAGGTAGAAATGTGCTCTTATCGCCGCGCTGAAGACGAAGGAACACTAGCAGAATTATATAAACACGATTCGCCGCTCTCAGATAAAGTACAAGAAGTAATCAAACCACTTTATGGAGATTTATCAAGGGACAAATTATTGGAAGGATGTTTAGGAGGAAATACACATAATGATTAAGTCGTATAATTACAATTTTGCAAATATTAACTTGATTCTAGTTCGGACGAGAATTATACATCTACTGAACATGCCTGTGAAAGTCAATCCGTCAAGTAGTTTTTGAGATATCGTGGCTACCGTTTGCAAAAATGTCATTTCGAGAAAAACACAACACAATAACAAAAGTTTCAACGGTCTTTTGTGGCATTTCGCTACGAAACATTTGTATTGTGGCCTTAAAACAATTGAAATTTCCGCATATTTAGCCGTAATAATTTTTAACGAAGGTTATTTTTCCATTCTAAAAACATTGGAAGTAATGGGAATTGTAATTGGTCCGATTGCGCAAAGTTTCGCTGAAAAGCGAGACGATACACGTGTAAGGATCGCCGAAAAATGACACACCGCAGCGTCCAAGGAGGTCAGAATTGCCAATTCGCAGAAATGCCAATTCAATCGCAAATCAATTTTATGAGGAAGAGAAAGGTGTCCTTTATGGCCCTGGAATAGCTGATTAGCAGTAACTATGATATTTTCAATTTTATATCCCATACAGCACAGATGGTTGCAGTTACATTGCAGAAACGTTGCAATCTTGCAGAGACATTCCCAGTGAGAAATGATTCGTCGATCGACGTCGAAATGATGTCGAATCGACGTCAATTCGACGGTGTCGATGTCGATTCGACGTCGTTTCGACGTCGATCGACAAATCATTTCTCACTGGGATTGCAGGGATATAAAATTGCAAACTTTCGATAGCAATATTGCAGTAATGTTTCAAAAATAATGAAAATACTATATTTTCTATTTAAAAAATGTTTCTAATTACAAGAATTTTATAATGTTATTTTCGTTGATACCAATAATGCGCGAATTATTAAGTACTTGATCAGTGCGGTGTTGCTCGCAATCTCCATCTATTGCGAGGCGACATAATCTCCTTAGGTTGCTTTGCAATAGCTTGCTATGTATTGAAAAAGGCCAGGATGTATATGTAATTAGTAAATTCTCTGCTTATGTACAACAACAAATTATTCCAAAAATATTGCACTGCAACATTGCTATAATATTGCACTGCAATCTCTCTGGGGGCGGACATTTCAACGTTGCTGCAATCCTCCAGAAACGTTGCTGCAATATTGCAATCTTGCAATGTAACATTTCTGCAATCTTTCTGTGCTGTGTGGGATAGCATAAAACTGTACATGAAACTACATGACATTTTTGCAAACGGTAGCCATGATATCTCAAAATTAAATTATTGTACTTGACGGATTGACTTGGGCATGTTCAGTAGATGTATAATTCTCGTCCGAACTAGAATCAAGTTAATATTTGCAAAATTGTAATTATATGACTTCAAAAACAAGCATTTTTTTGGCAGAAATCGACACTTTTTTCAAGATACCGCCATTTTGTTATTTTTCAATATTTTTCATTTATTCTAGTTCGGACGAAAACCACACTCATACAGATGAAGAATTTTGTGGGTTTTTATTTCAGACAATCTGGACAGCTGATATCATGGCACAGCTACCATGGAGATACTTTTTTTTATTGACGCTACCTACATATTATTATTACTCCCCAAGTTTTTCAATATATTTAAATAAAAATATATGACATTCCTTTAAGATATACAAACACTTGTAAAAAAGTTTTATATCGCTACATTGTATAGTTTCTCCTTAAAAAATCATGAATTTTGCTTAATTTTCGAGTCGCCACACTAGCAAGACCCCTTAATAAACAATTACTGCCGATGACGCACACTGCCTATTAATTTTTATCATACTTTTTTCGATTATTATTAGTCCGATGTGGAAGATTATCACTGGCCACTTTTAACAGCCATTCCAAAACAAATAAAAGGTTTAAGTGCTTATGTAAAGACTCGTTAAAAATTGCAACGCGCATCGTGACATTGCACATCATGAAAACATAAAGATGTAAAAAATATTCATTATTCGTGAATACGAGCATTGAAAAGACACGGTAAAAAGGCCCACGCCATGACTTTGCATTGGAGAGAATTGAGAACCGACGAGTCGCACTCGATCAATCGGACAAGTTCAGGTTTTTAATCCGTCTCGATTGAATTCTTGAATTCGCAATCCTGGAATTCCAATGCGTTGTCTCATACAGGCTTAGAGGGATCCTAAATCCGTCTGTGTTACCGACACATAGTTTTTGCGCCTAGAACTTTGGCCTACGTTCTAATTCCGAGAAATGGGTAGCCAATCAACTTGCAGTTTTTATGGAATAGCTGCAAGTTGATTGGCTACGCATTTCTCGAAACTAGAACTTGGACTAATAGCGAATTCGATTGCTTGCACTAGTGCGCACCGAGTGCACACTAAGACCAGTTTACAGTCAACTTTTATATTTAACTTTATCTTAAATATATATTCAATGAGTTTTTAGCCAAAAATAATTCGTATGAATGCTATATACTGATCATTTTACTGGCTACAAAATATTTCAAGAATACTTAAGATAATTCTTAAATATAAGAATTGATTTTGAACAAGCCTTAGGTGCGCTCGGTGCGCACTAGTGCAATCAACCAGATTCGCTATAAGTTCTAGTGGACACAGGCCTTAAAATCCAAAAAAAAGATTTACGAGCGCATAAACTATTTGACTATACAGTGTCGATAAAACAGCCACAAGGAACTGCAAAATAGCATGTTTCTTTTGTTGTAATCTTTATCACTTGTAAAAAAAAACAGTAGATATGGTTGCACCACACGTGTGAGACAATTAATGAAGAAGAGAAAACGTTGCACGAAATTATCTTAGGTCCAGTTTCACAAAAGTCGGTTAACTGTTAACCGGAGTTCAGTCGACTTCCTATCTTTTTCTATCTTGTTATCCAAGAGACGGAGGATCAATTAACCATGGGTTAGCGGTAAAACGACGTTTGTGAAACTGGCCCTTAGGCTACCTCAATCAAGCTCCAGTTAACTAGATCGACGATTAACTCAACCGGTAGTTGCTCACACAAGATCTTGAATCCACATAGTTTATCTCTAATTTTTTTCACACGTTGAACCACAAGAAATTAATAATTCCACCCGTGTTGTCAAAATGGTATATGTGTAAACGCAACGCGAAAACACATGGAGAGAAGTCACCCAGTGCTACAAGGGGCCGGTCTAGCAACAGACATGAAGCGCAAGCCAGGTATGGATTTCTCGTCACTTCGCGCGAGCATACGAGGTTAGGATAGGATTGTGCGAGGCCAAGACGGACGTGCAATATGCTTACCGCCGTAGCCGCGTTCCAGGCGTACGAGACGGTCCCCGCGCTCGTTTTGTAAATTACATTAAGCGGCGTAGTGACCACCGTGTACACTGTATCCTGCAAGCCCATGGTCACTGTGCAGAGGATGAGTTGATTGTCAATTTACAGTGTATACGTACGTTTTTTCAAGGGTGACAGTCCGGTGCGGGCGGTACAGTCACATTCGCGACGACACGTGACACTTGAGCCTCGTTCCTGCCTGTCTGCCAACGAGCGGGCCCGAAGGCGAAGTGCCCGAACCCGCCGAACCGTACCGTTAATCGCGCGAACGTGAGGGTGAACCTTGAGCTTGAGCGGTAAAGGTCCCATTTCATTGACGCTACGATTTAAGCCTATCACACAATAGGAAAGCACAGGCAATAGGAAATTCGCTCATACTTGACGCCGACTGAATATATTTTTAAATAATTTCTATATGCAATCGTTTGTATTTCGTATGTAGACGTTTCTAATGCAATTAGAAAGGTTTGTGAGTCATTCGTTTGTTTGTAATTAATTAATTATTTTTCCACCGTATACTTAGCGCAATAGATAAATTAGATAAAATTTTTATATGAAATCTTCTTTAGTCATGGCA